GGGGGGGGGGGGGGATTGCAAACGGCATCACACATTTCATGTGCGACCACGAGGAGGAGGATTGCCCGTAGGTCACGCTACTGTGCGCTTACAAAATGCCGCTCCTGCCGGAGCTACTGTAGAGGTATGTAGCCCGTTGGCTCTTTTTTCTCTGAAGATGGGCGAAGCTTCCGACCTCTCGCTGGGCTTCGGAGGGCGCGCACAGATTGATTGTTCGTGCATGCCCACCAGGCGCGGCCGATGCTAGTTTCATTGTTGAACGCGGCCAAAGAACCGTGTTACAGTAGTGGCGAACAGACATTTTTGAAGCAAAGCGTTTCGGACAACAGTCACAATCTGAATATTGGACCACCGTCCACAACGGCACGGCCGACAACAACTCAGCGAGGTTCCAGCTGTATCGCCGAGGGAAGCACCAAAGGTACATGACATGTGTCGCTTCTATCATCGCTCACCCTATCACCATCGCCACCGTTACCGTTACCGTTACAACATGAACGCTACGCTACGTATCTCACTGCCGTACCCTTGAAGTACCAGCAATCGAACCATCAAAGACTAGTCAGCGGCTGGCTGGCCTATGGTTTGAATTCGACTGCCAAAACAAGGAAAACGCAAAAAATAAATAAAATCTAAACAAAAGCACCATCGCTCTATTCGGATGCACGTGTGAATATCCTAATGATCCCAACATCTCTGAAACAGAGCGGGAAGTCGTGTTGTCCGAACGACCGAAAGTTTCATTCCTATCCCCCCCCTCCGGACGGTGCTCTGACCCGCGTGCCTTCTCCCCTGCTGAACAAACCTCCTCGAAAAGCCTGGCGCTCTGGAGCCGGCCTCTTCTACAGCCGCCGCGGCAGTTTCGGGGGGGGTCGTAGCTGCAGCAGCGTCGACCTCGTCGGAGTCCGGGTCGGAGCCGTCCTCCTTGTCGTCGTCGCTGTCTTCCTGGGTGTCCGCGTCTGTACCGGTGCCCCCCCGCCCGGCCTCCTCCTGCTCCTTATCCTCTGAAGCTTCTGATGCCGCCGCCGCCGCCGCTGCTCCTGTGGCGTCGCCCACGGCTTCGCAGCCGCCAGCGGGGGGGCCTGAAGATGCTGCTACTGCCGGCAGCAGTGACCCCTTGGGGACAAATCAAGAGTGGAGGGAGGGTCTCCGGCAGGAACAGCTGCGGGGACCCCGGGGGGCGGGTGACGACGACGCCGGGGCTGCGGCCGCTGGGAGGGAGTCGTCGGACGGCGACGCCAGCCTGTTGTCGAGGCAGAAGGGCGAGAGGCTGGAGGCGCTGACCATGCTCGTCGTCGGTACGGCGACGGGCGTTCTCAAGGTGAGCTATCGTCCGGGCCGACCCGTCTTTTGCGAGTTCAACGCCCACGTGGTTTGTTCGTGGCCTGACCTCGCCAACCTACGTTGCTGCTCGTGGTAGCTGGTAGACTGGTTGCTGCTCAAGATAGGTGCGAGGGTTAAAAGTAAATACCCTTCGAAGTGGCAAGAGGCGATGTAGTTTTTCGTTGCGTGCGCCAAAATCAGACGGCGCGGTCGACGAGGGAAAGGAACGGGTGAATCCTTGGCGCGATAGAACAAGAAGGCGAGCATTGCGCAAGGCAGGCGAACAACAGACTCATGTGTGTGTGTGGCGTTTCTCCGCTTCTATGACTCCGGCTGGTGCCTCCAGAAAAAACGCATTTCTATAGTTTATGCATGCACGAGATTGGGTCCGTTGAACCTTGTTTCTAGGCTAACGAACCAAGCAGTCACCCGTCCCTCCACAAGAAGAATGCTTTTCAACTACAATGCACTACTTTTTTCTTTCTTGACGCTCGTTGCGCGTACCCCAAACGCCTATCCCTCTTCGGACCCCCCTCCCTTGCATGATTGTTTGACGCTCGGCAGGGTCGTGCCATCTCCCCGGACCAAGCCCTCTTCGACGCGGGCTTCGACTCCATCACCGCGGAGGAGTTCGTGGGCAGGCTGCAGGAGCGCCTGTCGAGCGAGGGTTGGGTATCCGGCGGCCTGCCGGGAGCCGAGGCCGTGGTCTCGTCGACCACGGTGTTTGACTGCCCCACTGCGAGGCACATCGCGGAGCACGTGGAAGGCGCTCTGAGCAAGACGGGGGCTGGAGATGACGTAGCGACGGGCGGTCCTCAGGCCAGGTACATGTAGAGAGAGGCACCGTAATGTAGATTGATTTGGGGGTGTCGGTGGCGGCAGTGCGACCTTTTGGACGAACGTCGAGGCACTCGTGGACTACACCTGTAATTGGTTGATTTTTGACTGCTTGGGGGTGGTAGTGATGGTGGTGGATAGTTTTGCGCCAAGGTCGACTGATTGGTAACGCTCTTTTCGATTCTTCCTTGTCGGTCTCTCTGTGCCTGTTCCTTTTGTCTCCAACAACCCTTGTTTCCTCTCGCCGACATCACCCCCCCCCCCCCCCCCCCCCCCCCCCCCCCCCCCCCCCCCCCCCCCCCC